CCGCCACAACGCCCGGCTATTTTTTGGTTGCAGCCGTCATTGTTGTTTGGCGGGTCCGGGCTGGGGATTCAAACCCACCACCTTAGGTCTACGTGGCTGGCGCCTTAGCCGGTTGAGCTATAGGCGCCGAGCCAAAAGAGCTGATTTCTTATTCTAGCTCTTACCCCAGCTGTACCCTTCCCAGGGTACAAGGGAAGCCTCTTGATTGTGTGGGTGATTTCTCCTCTAAAAGTCATCATGAGGATCAGATGAAAAGGGGCTTTGAAAACATGATCTGCCTGCCTGGAAAATGCCATGGTTTCCTTTCTCCACAGGTCCTGACATGGGCTAAGCAGCACCAGCAGCGTCTTGAAACGGCTCTGTCAGAACTAGTGGCCAATGCAGAGCTCCTGGAAGAACTTCTGGCATGGATCCAGTGGGCCGAGACCACCCTCATCCAGCGGGATCAGGAGCAAATCCCTCAGAACATTGACCGAGTTAAAGCCCTGATCGCCGAGCATCAGGTATCTCAGCCCCGTGTTGTGGTCACTGGTGTTTTCTCTGTTGGCCATGGAGCCCATTTCCTTTACCCTGCATATCAGTTTTTTAATTGCTGCAGCTTGACATAGTACCACAGGTTTAGCAGCTTAAAACAACACACACTTGTTTCACAGCTTCCATATGTCTAGCATGTGGGCATGAGATATATGGGTCCTCTTTGAGGGGGTTCTCACCCGGCTGAAATCAAGGTGGCAGTCAGTACTACAGTATCATCTGGAGCTCGGGGTCCCTTTCCAGATGAAAAAAGGCTTTGGAAATGAGATCTGCCTCACTGGAAAAGGCCATGTTCCTCATTCGGTTTTTGGCAGAATTTAGTTTTTGGTGGTTATAGAACGGAGGTCTTATTCTTTTTCTGGCCTTCAGCTAAGAGTCGCTCTCATCTCCTAGAGGCCCCCTCCAGTCTTATGCACACAGCCCTCTCACTGTATTTTCACAGCCAGCAGGAGAAATTCTCCAAGGTGCCATATGGAGTCTTATAGAATGAAATATAATCAAAGGAGTGAGTACTGCATTTCACGGGTGTTGCCTACACTGTAGAGAATTTTACACCAAGAGTGGGGGGGTCTTCGGAGCCATCATAGGAAATCTGCCTGCCACAAGCTGGTTTTTTTAACCATCTGAGCCCAGAGCCCACTGACTGAGCCCCATTATACTGGGTTCAAAAGAATCTCTTACATCAACCCAGAGATTGACTAAGATAATACTATATCAGACCAAACTGAATGAAGAAAGCTCAGTTGAGCTACCTTCATAATACATGTGTGTCCTTAGAAAGCAAGCATATGTCCTGCTTAGTTATACTGTAGACAATATGATCTTTTTAGTTTATGTAAATACCCTAGCAGGTGGGACCTCCCCATAGAGGCAGTTTCAACTGACAGTGGCTCAACTTAGTAGTTTTCAACATTGTTACAGTGGAAGGCAATCCGCATTCAGCAGAAACCATACTTGGAGTGCATGTGCAACTCTTACAGTTTTTTGAGTACAGTATTCAGTAAGTTATATAAGATAGTTTAACACTTCGTTGAAATGGGCTTGGTGTTAGAAGATTTTGCCTAACTGTAGGCTAATGTAATTGTTCTGAGCACGTTTAAGATAAGCCAGGCTAAGCTGTGATCTTTGTTAGGTTAAGTGTTTAAATGCATTTTTGACTTCTCTTTTCAAAAATTCCTTCAGTTGCCCCTCCCCTCACCCTGTCATTGCCCTCAGAGGAAAATCCAAATCAGCCTGACACAGGGCCTCTCTTGGTCTTTCTTCTGCTGATTTCTGCGGTCCCACCTCTTGCCACTGCTCTGATTACATCATCTTCTCAGCCATTGAGTAGAAGGAGCCTGGTCCACAACACTGTTGGGTGCTCCTGGCTCTGCCCAGGCCACGCCCTCTGCAGGGACTGCCCTCCCCCCACTATTGGATTAATCCTTCATTTCTCAGTAACTCAGCTCTGGCACTGGCCTTAAGAGGGCCTTTCCTGCCACCTGAGGCTGTGAGGTATGCAGCCCAGGTCTTCCCTTGGCACCTTGTATGGTACACAGCGCTGTGACTTCTTGGTTTTTTTTTTGTTGTTGTTGTTGTTGTTTGTTTGTTTGTTTGTTTTGAGACAGAATCTCACTATGTCACCCTCAGTAGAGTGCCATGGTGTCACAACTCATAGCAACCTCAAACTCCTGGGCTTAAGAGATTCTCTTGCTTCAGCCTCCCAAGTAGCTGGGACTACAGACGCCCACCACAACGTCTGGCTATTTTTTTGTTGTAGTTGTCATTGTTGTTTTTGTTATAGTTATCATTGTTGCTTGGCAGGCCCGGGCCAGGTTCGAACCCACCAGCCCTGGTGTATGTGGCCGGTGCCCTTGCTGCTGAGCTACAGGCGCCAAGCCACTTCTTGGTTTTATCTGTCCTCTGTGAGCTCCTTGAAGTCAGAGGCCATGTCTTACCTCCTCTTTCAGGTCTAAAGGTAAAGTGCCTTGCTCAGTGGGCGTTCTTAAAAGGAGTGAGAAAGTGTGCAAAGGCGCTGTCACTTGGTCAGTCTGTCATGGCCTATGCCTGGCCTCTGTAAGGAAGAGGTTGCCTGACTCCAAGAAAACTCTCAACTTTTTCCTATTTTTTGTGTTTAACAGATGTTTATGGAAGAAATGACTCGCAAACAGCCTGATGTGGACCGGGTCACCAAGACGTACAAAAGAAAAAATATAGAACCCACCCATGCGCCTTTCATTGAGAAATCCCGCAGAGGTAGCAATGTGTTTCCAACCTGTTATATTACGATGCTTCATTCCTGCTGGTTGAAGATGAGTACTTTCCAAGTGCTGATCAAGAATGTCTTTCCATTTTAAAAAACCATATTGAATTTGAATCTTTTTTTGAAGTTCACTTTTCTTACGTTGATAGATAGTAGCTATACTCTGTTTTCTTGGATTGTTATGAAATGACAAGGTGATTAAGCCTGTTCTGTAACAGTAACCTTTAATTTTGATCATCAGCACTAGCTACATATTAAATATATTTGGTCTGCATTAATCTAATCAAAAATAAGCAGCTCCTGTAGAATCCATTGCTTTTCTAGTTGGGTTGACATGTCCTTGGTATAAGACTTGGCTGGAGATACGTAGGAGACAGGTCAGTACCTGTTGGCTAAAGAGGAAGATCAATAGTTTGTGATTAGTACTCCACGGTTTCTAAATACTGCTCTCAGGTTTTCTCAGGTTTCTTTTTTTAGTTACTAACTAAATGTCATTATTAAAATTTTCTCAGTTCGTACATATAGCAGTTTTTGTGGACAAACAAGATCAGCTGCTCTAATCTTGTGATTATCTTTTCTTTTAGGAAAATCTCTGAGTCAGCCCACACCTCCTCCCATGCCAATCCTTTCTCAATCTGAAGCAAAGAACCCACGGATCAACCAGCTCTCTGCCCGCTGGCAGCAGGTGTGGCTCCTAGCACTGGAGCGGCAGCGGAAGCTGAATGATGCCTTGGATAGATTGGAGGAGGTAATGCCCCACTGAGTCGCCTTCCCTCAGGGGGAAGGATTTCTTTTATCAAAACACAGCCCTTCTGAAGCTTTCTTACCTTTGTGCCTGACCTTCTTCTTCAGAAGTAGAAACAGACCTCTTTCCTTGAGGCTCCCCCCCATGAGAAAAGATACATTTGTAAGAAAAGCATTCACAACAGGGTAGGCTGAAGCACCTGGTTGTAGAAAGCGAGAAGCCACCCACTCAAGGATCAGACCTGGGACCTGGTCTTCCTCAGCACCTTTTTCCAGTGGAGGAACATTGGAAATTTATCTCCAGAAGTGTAATACAGCACAGAAATGATCATTATTAATGATTCCTTCATGTGAGGATATGTGCTATGTAATTATGAAAAAAGAATAATTTTTATGGTCTTGTTATTTTATTAATCTTCACTAGCTCATAAAAAGAAAATCTGTTTTAAAGTGTCATTACCCAATATTAAAAAAAAGTACTATATCTAGTTTCTAAAACAAGTCTCTAATACCTTTTATATTTCTTTACTTTTGCATATCAAAGCAGCTATGCCTGGAAGTGAGTGTTCTGTGTTTTTTGTTATTATTTCCATAGGTCAGTTGAGTTTAAGCATATTGGATTCTTGGCACTTTTTTCCCCCATTCCTTCCAACTTTGGAGTTTGAAAGACCAGGGGGGAAAACTGCTGCAGTGTTTAAGTCATTCTGAGTATATATCACTAATGTAGTCCACGTAGCTGGAAATCGCCTTGCCCACTGCACAGGTCTGCTATTTTCTATCAAGACCAAATATTTAACATGGAAGTCAAATGGGCACTTTGCTCCCTTTGGTGCCATTCCAGAGAAACATACTTGGGTGCAGGGATGTTCCTAATGCTTCTATCCAGAACTCAAATTTTCTCATAGAAGTCTCAGAACATAGTGGGAAACCCAAGCCTCCTATTGTGGGCCCTATGTGTGGTTATAGTGCAATGTTAAGTGATGAATGCCGAGGACCTCCCTTCTGGGATAGAATCCATCCCCTTACATCTAAGAGGATGGTCCTTTCAAAAGCCCAAAGGGAAAGCAAGGCTGGCTTCACCCATTCTCATTCTGCGTGCTCTGTAATTTTCATGGTGGTTGTTTCTCCCGCTACTCCATTATGCAGCAGCTTGTGTAAATAGTCGTGGCTTTAAGTGAAGGAGCCAGATTGTGCCCTCACAAAAGTGGCAACATATAGATATCATTGTTGGTGCCCCCTGGAAGGCCTGCATGGCTTTACTGATGTCTGAAAGTTTCGGTGTACTCTCGGCTGCATTGATAACCAAAAACAGTAGGTCTTACTGACACCTCTGATTTCTGTCTAGTTGAAGGAATTTGCCAACTTTGACTTTGATGTCTGGAGGAAGAAGTATATGCGTTGGATGAATCACAAAAAGTCTCGGGTGATGGATTTCTTCCGGCGCATTGACAAGGACCAGGATGGGAAGATAACACGTCAGGAGTTCATCGATGGCATTTTAGCATCCAGTGAGTCTAGTCATAATTCAAACGTGGTCCAACCTCAATTCCTTGCACTTACTTTGTAGAAGCTGTGATGTTCTGGCTAAACGATTTTTGTGAAGTTAAAGTTACAGTTTTGGAGAGGAAATAATATAACTACTTACTAAAAGTAGTCTATCATTTTGAAGGAGAAAAGAATCTTACCCAGTTGGGGATTAGAAAAGTGGATCTGTTTGATACATTGGGGCAAGAAAAACATCTTTGAAGAATTGATAAGGAGCAGCTTTTGTGGAGGAAGTTCGAAGTGATATGTTTAAAAAATAAGTTTTCATAAAAAGCAGTTTCTTACATGTGTATAAAAGCTTACAAAGTATAATAGAACTTCTGTAAGTTGTTACCACCCAAGGGACTGTAACAAACTGGTCAGTGTACAAATGTGGTCAGCATACAGAACTAGGCCTACTGTACTGACTACACATGTGGCACGTGTCCAGTCTGTGAAAATCAGGTCAACTTGGGGCAGTCAGTGTAGGGAGGTGGTCAGTGATGTGCTACTGTACACAATCTGCTTTTTTAGCAGAAGAAATAATTGAGACATAAAATAGTCAAGTGACTTTCCAGGATTACAAAGCACTTCTTACAGCCACATAACTAAACGTGGAGTGGTCTGGAAGGCCCGTGTGTGGAGGTGAGAGTTGAGCTGAGATGCAGCCACATGAAAACCTGCAGGAAGAGCTAGAGGCAGAGGGTGCAGAAGATAGAGAAGCACTGAGAGAGGGCGAACCTGCCACTTTTCAGGAATGGAAAGATGAATGTGGCTGAAGTGTCATGAACAAGGAAAAGAGTGGAT